CCGAAGCGGGATATCCAGCCGGTCAGTAGGGCTCGTGCCACTGTGTCGGCTGTGATGTCCGGGATGGGGATGGCTTCTGGCCAACGGGTAAAACGCTCGACTGCAGTGAGGCAGTATGTGTAGCCTCCTGACGTCGGAAGGGGTCCAACAAGGTCTATGTGGACGTGAAGAAATCTGGCTGACGGCGTTGTAAAGTCGCCCAGTGGAGTGATTGTGTGGCGGGAGACTTTGGAGCGCTGGCAGGACTGGCAAGCAGGTGCCCAGGTGCGGCTATCCTTCTGCACGCCTGGCCACACGAATCGCTTTGCGACCAGTTTCCCTGTTGCTTTGATCCCTGGGTGCGACAGATCATGGACAGACTGGAACACATCGAAACGAAGAGGAGCTGGGATGTACGGCCGAGTTTTCCCGATAGAGGTATCGTAGTAGATGGACACCGTGGTACCGGGAATGGTAGCTTTTCGAGCCGCAAAGCCTTGTTTGACTGCCGAAGTGATTGAAGCTCGTCGTCACTGTCCAGCGATGCGGCCAATGCGTCGTAGGATATGGCGCCGTGACGGAATCGACGCGGGAAAGCTCGTCGGCAATAACGTTGTCCTGTCCCGAGATGTGTCGTATGTCAGTCGTGAATTGTACTATGAAATCCAGGTGGTTGAATTGCCTTGGTGAGCATTTGTCCCTTTTCTGCTGGAAAGCGTAGGTGATAGGTTTGTGGTCCGTGAAAATGCTGAAGTGGTGCGCTTCCAGCATATGGCGAAAGTGTTTTACAGCCTCGAAGATTGCCAGCAGCTCGCGGTAATACGCACTGTATTTTTGCTGGGCCGGGTTGAGTTTCCGTGAGAAGAATGCCTGGGGCTGCCAGGCGTTCTTGAGGCGTTGCTGTAGCACGGCACCCACGGCGGACGTGGAGGCATCTGTGACGAGTGCAAGTGGCGCGGATGGGTCGGGGTGAGCCAGTAGTGTGGCGCGTGACAAACTCGCCTTGCACCCTTCGAAGGCCCAGTGAAGCTCCGGTGTCCAATTGATAGGGTGGGAGCCCTTGACCTTGGGTCCGGAGAGGACGTCGTGCAGTGGTGCCTGGTGTGCTGCCGCGTGGGGAAGAAATCGCCTATTGTAGTTCAGCATGCCCAGGAAACGGCGGAGTTGACTGGAGGGAGGTTTTGGGAGGTTGACATACTTGGAGGTGGGTCACTCGTTCTTCCAGCGGTTGGGAGCCTTCGGCGGACACCTTTTAACCGAGGAATGTGATCTCAGGTACTCGGAAGACACACTTGGCCGGGTTGATGAGGATCCCATACTTCTGCAGTCGATCGAAGAGTGCCCGTAGGTGTTGTAGTGTTCCTCTAGAGACCGGGAGAAGATGAGGATATCATCCAGGTAAGCGAAACAGAAGTCGAGTCCCCGCAGAATGTCGTCCATGAAACGTTGGAAGGACTGTGCGGCGTTGCGCAGGCCGAAGAACATGAAGGGGAACTCGAATAGGTTGAATGGAGTGGTGATGGCCGTCTTCTGTATATCACCGGGATGGACGGGAAATGGTTATTAGCTCGTACCAAGTCGATTTTGGAGAAAATGATACAGCCATGGATCTGGTGTAAGTAGTCATGGATATGCAGGACTGGGTAGCGGTCAGGGATTGTCCGGGCGTTTAGTGCTCTATAGTCACCGCAAGGACGCCAACCGTTGTCTTTCTTAGGCACAATATGTAGTGCCGAGGAGCGTGAACTCTCTGATCGACGAGCTGTACCATCCCGCAACAGGGTTTCGAACTCGGGTTTTGCGATTACTAGTCGGTGCGGTGCCAGTCGCCGTGGTCAGCAGGTTACTGGTGTTCCAGGTACTGTCCTGATGTGGTGGACGATGTTGCGTCTTATCTCGCGCTGGACTCCTGCTGGGCGGGTCAGGTCCGGGAACTCTGTGAGGAGGCTGTCGATCGGGCTGTTGCTGCTGATTGTCTTTACACTGGGCTCAGTGCGTTGGCCGCTGATGCCGGGGCTGACAGAGTCGTGACCCCTTCTAGATTGTGGTTGTTCCAACAGTCCAACAGAAGACCGAAATGTGACAGGAAACCCACGCCGATGATAGGATGCGGGACATCGGCCACCACGAAGCGCCACGTGAATTCTCGGCGTAGGCCCAAGTCGAGGCTGAGAGGCAGCCAGCCGTATGTGTGGATGGTAGTGCCATTAACCGCGCACAGGTCATAGTTGTTACGCTCCATGAGTCGATGGACGAGCCTGGGGGGTATACACAGAGGTCCGTACCCGTGTCGACTAGGAACTGCCGTTTGCTGACTCTGTCCTTTATGAAGAGGCGGCCTGTTATCGTAGCATAGACATCGGCCGCCGATGATGTCCGCTGCGTCAGTTTCCCTGCAGGGCGGAATACAGTTTTGTGCCCGAGGGCCGAAGCGGCCGGGCCGTCGGAAAATGAAGGCGGGGCGGGAACATTTTCGACGGGAGCCTCTGTTTCTCGGTTTGTTGTCGGACTCCCTGAAGTGGGGGTGGACGCGGTCCTGTTCGGTCCTGAGTGCAGCCACTTGGCGCGAGAGTTCAGCGATCTCCTGCCGAAGTTCGCAAATGTCCGTGGGTTCATTAACGCTAGCGAGCGTTGGCCAAATTCGACCTCGAAAATGCGGTCTGCACAGAGGTCTGCGGCCTCCAAGTTGATCTCGTTCTGGCCGGCGAGGAAGCTCTGGACGTTGCGGGGTAGCCGGCTGGTCCAGACGCTTCTGATGACGTTATCAGGCACCTCTGGTGCGAGACTTTTGAGGTAACTCAGGAAATGGGACGGCTTACGTTCGCCAAATTCCTCAACCGTGAGGAGTTGCCGGATGCGCTGCTCTGGTAATGGGGATAGCCTCCTCACAAGCTCGGTCCTCAGTAGGATGTAGGGGCCTCGTTTGGTTGGAGAGGTGATAATGTCCTCTACTTCCGATGCGTAACGTTTGTCCAACTGCGAGATCACGTAGCAGAACATCGTCTGCTCGCTACTGATACCGGCCAAAGTGAACTGTGCTTCGGCTTGAGCGAACCAAACTGCTGGTCTTTCGGCCCAGAACGGCGGAAGCCGCACGGCAATTGTTGGTGTCTCTATTGGTACTGGTCTGCTAGTAATACCAGCATCATGTTGTTTTTCTTCCATTTTGTTTTCCTATTCTCGTTTGGTGCATAGTTCGCCTTGTAAAGTATCCATGTGTGTTACGTACTGTTGCAGGAGGTCTTCTATTCGACCGCTGTCCATTATTTGTGTTGTATTGTCAGGGTCACCAATGTGGGAGTCGTTGTATGAAGAGACAACCACTAGTTGAACTGTCCTACAGGATTTATTGCAGCTGCACAGTATACACAGACGGATAACAACAATAGTGAACTGCTTGAACACTGAACTTGAATTGTAGAACCGTAGAAATGTCACTGTAATTCAGTGTATCTTCTTATGTAGCCTAGAGTCGTACATATAGAAAACGGTTACGTAATAGGTACTGCTGTTGCCAGACACCGTGTTTACAAGTTCCCTAGCAACCGCTGTTTACTCGCTTTTGCCTACAACCGTTGTTTACTGTTTGTTGCTAAGCAATGACGCTTGCATTTTCTCACTTGCTTGAGTGTGGGCAGTTCCCACACTATCTTTCGAGCTGTACAAGTCATGAAGCAATCATGAATGCTAAAACGTACCTCGATTGAAACATACAAATTCGCTGAGGTGTTTCGATTGGACAATGGGACACTGCTAGTTGATGTAATAATAGGGAATATTTTCGATTGCAGTTAAGGAAAGTTTGCAGCTGTGCTTAACTAATTCAGCGCTACACCATGAAGGTGTATGGGGGAATTGATGTATAGACATAAATTTTCTTGACCTATTCACTTAATGGATGTGAGTGGTAAGCTTCAACACCCAGCCGCTGTACCCCCGGGGATAGAATCTCACGTAACTCGTTGGATAGGTTGTGGGTCGGCCCAACAGCCAGTCTGGACGACATGGAGAAGTGAAAATATTTTTCCCCACCTGGACTCGAACTCACCATTATATTTGAGTGTTTGTGTATCGCCCCCATCAACTTTTGAATGCCCGAAACACTCTTGGTATGCATACCATTGAACCTGGGCCCCTTCTCAACGACGTCCTTGTTGAATCCCTCCCGTCACTCTTTGTATCTGCACGCATAGCTCCTTATCGTTGATAGGCAACGGCTCGGTTAAAAGGTTACCGCGGCAAGAAACATACGCAACAATAGCAGAATCTTGGATGCGTCGTCTTCTATGCCGTCCATGTTGTATCAAGTAAAGGATTCGATAATTTTTCCCACAGAACTTGGGACGCAAGTCGAATACTTCCATCGTAACCCTGCCAGAAGTAGGCGACGAAAAGGGAACCCAGTGCCTGCGGTTATAACTGCGTCACCCAGTTCCTCTGGGATATATATACTGGGACCTGGCCCTACAAGTTGAGGGAGTTTCGAATCTGAAGCAATAAAATGGGGTCATGAGTCTCGCGGGTCTTGGACTTGAAAATGACTGCGTTGGCGAGCTCCTCATGTCAGAGAGGATGTTACATAAAGATTATGACAGCAAATGTTCAGTTGAAAATAAAATTGCTATACGTGTGTCCTCAATTCCAAATAACTGGCGGTAAACCGCCAGTCGCAAAGTAATTTTGTCTTGACTCTCGGCGAAGAATACATCCCATTTTCAAAACGCTTAAAAGGCTGAAAGAAAACATCGTAATGGGTCCCGAAAGCAAAAATAATTGTGCTGGGTAGGGCCAGCGCCATTTTACTAGACTGGATTGGAAGGAAAAGAGACAATTAATTCTACCCAGAACATCTTATTATATTATTCTACCATCTACGTCTATGTTTTTCCGGTGATAACTTTAGCTATTATTTCATCAAAATCACTAACCAGGATTTACCTTTGTGATCGCAGAGCAGTGGGTTTTATATCACGTAAACAGGTTTCAAAGTATTATTTCGACGAGTTTCAGTTCTACCACCTCCCCCCTTGCAGAAATAAATATCCTCGAGATTCGCAACTGAAAGCATAGATCGAGTTCCTCATATCCTGGATTCATTTCAAAACTTGGTTCGGCGCGCAAGTCAAGCACGGTCCCAGCAGCATTTTAAGTACAACAATTGGTAGCGCTTGAATATCAAACGTCACCATTCCAACGCCCCAATAGGAAACCAGTGTCGACACTGGCATCCAATTGATCCGTGAGTGAGTGCGCGACAGTTATTGCAATTCGATGTTGTACACAACATGAGAAAAAAATGATCTATTAACATAACCTCACAAAAATTCCAGGTGCATTTATTTTTTCGAAGAAAAATTATTTGAATATTCTCATATTTCTTCCAACATACACTGTATCTTTCGTATAACATGTCACGCTTGCCAACTAAAATCCGTATAATTGTAACAAGATCTGTGAAGATCTCAACGCCTACTTTCCTGTTATCAAAAATTTATGATTGCCTTCGGCATGGACCGGATAGAAAACATCGCGTCCAACAGTTTTGCTATTGTTGCTTGCATTCATCGCCTCAAGAACGTCATTACCGAGCCGTTACCAAGCAGAGGTCACCTCATTTTCCTTCATTATTCCGATTGACAGACATCATATCACATTGCTCCACTCTGAAACCCGCTCAGAAATTTGAGAGGCCGTAACGCTGATGTTACTGAGAGGAGGAATTTATGAAGTACGACGTTGAAACGAGCTCAGGTGCCATAATGCACTGTAATGCGAATACCCACTGCCTGGCCACAGCTCTGTGAACATGTTCCAACACACAACATCTCTAGGCCATGTCCGAAATAAGCGCAAGCAACATTACAGAAGGCTTCGTATTACATGTCCGCGGTGACGTCCCGCAGCGGTAAGTGGTGGTCACGTGACACGTGTTTCCTGTGATGCGTGTCCCTTCCTCGGCTATATAATTGACAGAATTCGCTCAAGGTACTTATGACTGAATAACAGCGGCAGAAACACGCGAACAAGCAAGCACAACACGGAGTTCGTAGTTGAAGAAGAACTAGAAGTCGGCATGTGATGATTTAACGTGTGATTAGAAGACATTATTTATGTGTAATATTTCAAGCGTGTGATTCAGTGAGACTTATAGTTCCCGTGTTATAAACCCATGAAGACTAGTGCAGACGGACTGAAGAGAGTAGTCTTGTAGTTACGACCTTGTAGTCGTCCGCCGACTTACAGCTGCACGAATGTCGCTCGAGCGTGAGTTCTTAATCTCAGGATACGGATGCTTCGGATATGTGACTGGAACACACTTCGAGGTTCATGAATGCGGGGGCTCCAGAACACACCGTGTATTGCAGTTTTAATTTAAAGTTTCATTAATGATCAATATTTATATTGTCCTACAAGCCAGCCGCTCCGTCCGCCAACTCGCTACCACTATTGTCGAACACTTCTCTGTTCTGTCTATCTTTCAACAACTGTCCACCTCAGCTCCCTATAACTAAATGTCCTCTCTTTACAAGTCCTCCAGTGGGCATAAAAAACAAGAAATTAAGAGAGAAAGCCAAAGTTCGAGCCGGCATCTGACCTACATTCGCCTTTTTCAACAAGCCCTTAAACTTTTTTAGGTCTTCAAGGCACACGATCAGGGAACTCAATACCCTCCTGGTAGGTCTCGCACAAGGTCAGTTTATGGGTTTATGATACCAGGAGCAAACTGGCGACGTTAGGTACTATAGTGAAACCCTAAGCCTAAGGAGGACAACAGCTGAATTACAACTAGACGGGTTCTGGGAAGGTATCTTGCTGGAGGAGCGTCTCTCATTGTGTTAAACAATGCATAAGATATTCATACCCTTAATTAAATAATTTTGGCGAGGGACGTACGGATACAACCTGTAAGTTAAAAGCAAATCCAATTACCAATCCAAAGCCGCGTCTTATTTACCGATACACGTGACAATACATTCAAGTTTCTAAAACACCGTTTCAGGCAGTCAAATATTATTAAGACTAATATCTGACGATCTCAGAGGTTTCAATCTTGGTATTAGTGGTGGGAGGGATGAATTCAGATTCCTTCAGGTAATATACATGCTATGTTTCATGATGGTCTGTACAGGCGTTCAAGTAATATTGTTGTGACCAAGAAGTCTCTTTTAGTTTGCTACGGTCCCGAACTGGCGCCGGAACGCAGCCCATTATATATTCCCGTCGAAATTTTGACGGCTTCGGGGGGCCCGCGCCGCTTCCTCTTCCTATTCCTCTTCCTCTTCCTCTTTCTGCGATCGTCACCGGCCACGACTTTTCGAACTACGTCTGGAACTTACGCCTTCTGGATTCAATCTTAACTTCCGTCCTTAATGGCTTATACTTAGTTCAACCTTAATTATCCGTGCCTATCGTGGGCCAGATTTTCATGTCTGCTACGATTTCCTGGATGTTCCTCGACCAAGTACCGAGGGACGCCTCTTCTACTTGTAAGCCCACCTGTGTTTCATCAATCTTCTCTTTCAATTCCTTGCGTAGGTCCTGTGTCTTTTCGTCGATACACAACAGGACGTCTTTTACCCGACCTTTAATTGTCGCCTCTAACACCCACTGGATGGAATGTAATGCGACATCCTTTTTTTTTTATGTAGTTCCCTCTTGGCTTTAATTCTTCCTTGAGTGGACACTGTCCTGGTTTCGTGGGTATCCATCCGGGAGATGAGACAACCTCGATGAACCACAAACTTATCATTATTAGCTTATATCCTGCCTTCAATCGTCTATGGGTTGGCGTCTATCTTGGCATCCATCTTTTCTTGGTTGGTTTCCATCTCGGCCATCATTTTTTTCCAGCAGGTGTATTTCTGAAGCCGATACTCAGTAACGGCTGAAGTATATTTACTTATAGCGCAGTTGTTGCCTACGAGCGGGCGTTGTTTATACAGTCATTACTTGGCAAAGGGTCTAAATACTACACTAGACTTACGATCTATAAACATGCCTTGCTACTTGTTTGGTATAAAGACCGCCGTTGCCTCGAGGGACAGTGGTTTTCCAACTTGGCTGACAAATAGCAGTGGTCGCCGACGTCGGTAGCCAACTTATATCTGTTACAGTTTGTCCTTACATTGCTCTTCGGAGACTGGGTAGCCAACTGGTGTCGCGAA